CTTTGATGTGTTTTTTATCGCTTCTCGGCCTTCTTTGGCTAAGATCGAATAGTTGGTTCTTAAGCCTACTAAGTCAGTTTTAGGGTGTTTAAGGGCACCCAGGTCGACGTTTCTGCTATTAGCCTTTTTGGTTTTGTATAACCATAGAGGCGCCTTTTGGTAAGGTTTCCTTACTAAAAGAGGAAGTCCAGGTCCCTTTAGCGACTGGGCTTTAACCAAAAAGAGAAAAGTTCTCCTTTTTTTGCACTGGAGGAACCTGCCTGCGCATTCTAGCGTATTCGCGGGGAAATCCGGGCCAATATCCCCACGGTTGGCCCCATCTTTACAGTAGGGCTTCTTCCTTACTTTTCCTACTTCTATACCCATGGAGGGTATTTCTTCAGCCGCTTGGGCGTATAGTGTCCCAATGGAAAACACTACTCCAACCAAGGGTCCAAGTTCTAATATGGTAGTTGAGGCTAGTTTAGCTTCCTCCTCTGTTAGTAAGCCTATGATAGTTAGTGTAGGTAAGACTAATACTAAGTCTAGCCAACCTGCCCCTAGGCCTGTCTCCGGTCACGTTCGTGCCGTTGAGCAGCCCACTTTCAAGGGGGTCAGGCTGGTCGGCATGAAGTCTTCTAAGGCTTCTGCTGCTCAGTCTGGTCTGGCAAGTCAGGTGGCTGCTGCCGATAAGACAGCAAGTCTGGCCCCTAAGGCCAGTTTTAGTAAAGTAGTTAGTGGGACCGCTCCCGCTAAGCCTATATCTTCGTCCGCTTCTGGGCCCTCAGTGCCCCAGAAGACCAGCTTTGCTAAAGTAGCAGCACGTTGGGCTCCAGCAGCCACTGTGTCTGCTCACACAAACAAGTTTTTCAACACCGAGCAGTTAAATGCAGGTGTTTTAGCACAGCATAAATGTGCCAAACCTGCCGTCCTTAACGGCAGGATGCGAAGGGTGCTCAGTGCCCATGTTTCCGTTCCGGAAGGCTCGACCGTTGACGAGATACTGGACGGCATAGAGCGCACCCTTGCGCCTGGGGAGTTTCCCGGTTTGCGCCCATGGGCAAAGACCGGTATTTTATAGGCTTTCGGTCGACAGAGAGTCGCCGCCTTTTAGTTACCACTGGTTTTGTGGTCAAGGACGTTAGGGTTTTCCCCGTCCCGCTTGATGAAGACATCACTACTGTCTTCATTAGGTTCCTTCCTCCCGAAATGGACCTAAAGGCTGTTCACCTGTTGATGGGCCAATTCGCAGCCGTAAAGACTGTGTCTATGCAAAAGGTCCCGGGCCGCCCGCATATAGACACAGGAACGGTCAAGATTTGTATCGAGGTCAAGAAACCAATCCCCAACATCGTATACTACGAGGGTGTGCCCCTGACCCTTGGATACCGAGGTGTAGAGCAAATCTGTCGACACTGCCTCGAGCCAGGTCACGAGCAGAGGGACTGTAAGGCTAGCCTCTGCGAAAACTGCCATAGCAGGTTTCATGCTGCGAGGAATTGTCCAAAGCCGTGCCGAGTCTGCACGGGGGACCATAGCATTCTGTCTTGTAGTGCAAAGGGCTCTGTTGAGGAAGCAGCTGCTTCCGACAACATCGAGATGGAGGTGTCCACGGATGCCTCTGTCCCCGTCTCTTCTCCCGTCAACCTGCCGGAGGCCCAAGCTGCTCCAATGGTTGTCGAAGATACTGCCCCAGTCCCAGCTCCGCCTGTGGAAACTGGCAATAGTAATAAGGTAGATGATAAGATAGAGGAAGACTGCTCTAAGCTAGATAGTAGGAAGCAGTCAATAAGTAGTGTTAGGACTAGAAGTAAGACTAGTCGTAATTCCAAGGGGAGTGAAGGTGAAAGTAGTAGCGATGTGTCCGCTGCTGCGGGATCCAGATCTGGGAGGGAAGGTAGGCCTAGTAAACGGGCCTGCCGCCGTAGACGTAAGAATAGGAAGGCCAGGGCTGGTAAGTCCTCCAAGTACAAAGAAATACTAACCCCCTAATCCAAACATGTCTTTCAAAATACGTTTAGCATCCCTTAATTGTAATGAACTTCGGTCCATCCCCCGCCAGCTTTTTGTTGCTTCCCTTTTGTCCTCCCTTCAGCTAGATATTCTGGCTTTGCAGGAAACGTATTTTGAGAACATGCGAAAAGTTAGGAATTTTAGGCCTAAAATTAGGGGCTATAATAGTTATTATAGCTTCTCCAGGGGTAGGAGCGGAGGAGTTGCACTCCTCGTCTCCTCCAGTATCACGATCCAACAGTTCCTCACTGATAGTGACGGACGGATAGTTTGTTTAGACATTGTTAAAAATAAAAAAACTGCTAGGGTTGTTTGTATTTATGGCCCTACGAGGCCTAGCTTACGTTCAAACTTTTTCCAAATTCTTGGTAGCTATCTTGCTACCAATAGAGACATATTTGTCATTGGTGATTGGAACGTGATCCTCCGTCCCGAAGACAAGGAAGGAGGTAGCTGGTCCC